ACAGGTTTAATCAGACAAATAGTTTTAAGCGTGCGTTTTAGTTTTGATTTTTCAGGAAACAAGTTTGCGTAAATCACATATTATTTGATGCGTGCGCCCACATGCAGGCACGCACAAACGCACGCAAATACATGACGTGCACTTCGTTATGTGTGTTTGTGTGTGTGTGTGTGTGTGTGTGTGTGTGTTCGTGAGTGAGCGCGGACGGACTACTCGCTCACGCTACAGAACACACGCGTATTATAACCAGGTTATTACAGGTACATATATGTACAGTTACATGTGTTGAATGTGTGTATGTGTGTGTGCGTGCGTGCGTGCGTGCGTGCGTGCGTGCGTGCGTGCGTGCGTGCGTGTGTGTGTTGTGTGTGTATGTGTGCTGTACACATAGCATGAGTGTGGTGGGGTGGAGCTGTGCCACGCAATCATGTATCATGTCTCTCTGGTTGTTCCCTCTGCCAGTGGTGTTAAGACCACCCGACGCATTCATGTGCTGTACTAGAGGTCAAGGTGAAGTCTCTGGATTCTGACACACTCAAACACGCACGTACCCACCCTAGGTTTTTTTTACAATAGATCAAATTATTATCTCAACTATTTTTTATTGGTACGCTATAAAGAGAACCTAAACAATATACTGCTTGCGATAATTTATGTGTAACAACTAACAAGGCCTCTGATTGGGTAAAATTGCCAGAATTTAACCGCAGTTGAATTATTTTTACCGCTGAAAAAATAATTCATGATCCGCGGTAAAAAAATTATTATTTCTGAGTACGATGGCCAGCCATAAGCATACCCATATGCCTCGTCTTCGTTCATTCAAAATACTGAATCGAACTTTCCCGAGTTGAAATACATACATGTACAGTTTTCCCGATTTACATTTTCCCACCGAGGTCAAATAAAGTGCAGTTTAACGTGCTATTCTTTTATTTTGCACTATGGCAGGCCTGTGAGCATTACAGAAGTGACAAATCGACTATCTACTAACTAGCTCAGTTAACTAACTAACTAACTAACAGTTAACTAACTACTACTAACTATAACCCAGCTCAGCCGTAGACGGCTGCCTGGTCGAGTCGCGTGGGGCCACAGCCCTTTCCCGCAAGGGGGGGGGGTTATGGGGTGTCCCTTCAGAAAATATTTTAAACGACGAAGCCAAATCCTGCATTCTGAGCATATCTGGAGTAAGAATTATGGTATAAACAAATACATTCTGACACATTTGCATTTTCATTTCCATTTTAATATCGATCTACATCAAGCCGAAAGGACTTCATGTGAAGTTGACCTAAGTTCCTGGAACTGACGAATGGTAGAAACCAGTGATTTACCAGCCATTATACAGTACAATCTACAAATCTACTAGCCCGTCGGGCTAGCATTGATGGGACATTTGGTAGCCCGAACACAACTTTCACTAGCCCAGGGCTATCGGGCTAGCGTTAGTGTCGAACACTCCCACATATACACTCGATATTGGCTTTTAGCAGCTGGGGATATATATATCGTACAAGTGAATGCGTAAATGAGCCCGTCATACAGGTGTTTTTGCGATGCGAAATCCTGCATTTCGTGAAATTATATGGCGTGATCGTAGTAGGAAGGCTCTTTGAAGAAATTGCGTAATTGTGAACTTCCGCGTCCGCTGATGGGCTTTCACCTACCATAGTCTGCCAACATACAGTCTGCCCTTACCATAGTCTGTCCACATACAGTCTGCCCTCACCATAGTCTGCCAACATACAGTCTGCCCTCACCATCTCTGCCCACAAGTCTACCACCACCATAGTCTACCCACATGCAGTCTACCCTCAACAGTGTCTGCCCACAGACTATGGTGATGGCAGACTATGGTGATGGCAGACTATGGTGATGGCAGACTATGGTGATGGGAGTCCGCCCTCACCGTACGGTCCGTCCTCACCGTACGGTCCGCCCTCACCGTACGGTCCGTCCTCACCGTACGGTCCGCCCTCACCGTACGGTCCGT